ATGAAAAAAGAGATGGAAAYTGGATGAKAATAATAAATGGTTGTCCAATTTTAAGAAAAAAGAAATGTTGAAAAGAATTAGCCTRTATCCATGWAATATCAGAAGCATTTGATCCCAGGCCTTCCGATATCCAGGRTAATTGACGTCCAAATGCTTTTATTGTATCGACCGTCTCCATCACGATTCCTGTTTAGTTACGTTGGCTTCCGATGAAGAAAATCGTTTTTATTCAATAATCATTATAGACCTGCTTTATGGTAATGAATCTTGACACAGCTTAGGAATTGCAATAAGATGCATTAGAGACCCTAAAATTCAGTCTTCTTAAAGGCTCTTCTAACTCCTTAAATCTCACTCTCTTCCATTTTTCTTGTAATTTCTCTCTTTTTTTCTATACTTCAACTTCTGATTTTCCCCTTGTTCACTACTCCTCTTTTGTTTTCCTTTATTTTTTTCATTCCTCTTCTCTTGGCGTTCTACTTCCCTTTCTTTCATTCTCCACTTCCCTTCACTCTTTTTCGTGCGTTTCTCCTGTTTTCCTCTCTTGCTTTCATTATCAATCTCTCTTCATTTAAAAACACCCTAAATCATTTTCTATATTATTCCCTTCTCCCTAAGTGGACATCTAATAATATATGTATTGACGATATTTTTTAGTATCGCGTGATGCATTAAGTTGAGAGTTTTCTCGCTACAGGAAAAATTTTAAAATAAACAAAARCATTATACAAATTGAAGTAAAAAAGAAGCTTTGATTCGTGTGTTTTGAAAACATAAAATAACAACATTCATTATAGACTTCAATATTCAAATTAGAATCTTCCAACTCAACGTGTCACAAACAATTAAGAAACTACCCCTAATGAAAAGAGTGCTGTTTTACACATAATTGAGCTAATTAGCTACCTTGTAATGGCGATCACAGGTAGTCAAAGAAGTATTTTCACCAAAAAGGCAACCTAGGGTGTACCTCACTCATCGCTTTAGGCCCAATGTGATTCAGATTGAATATTATAACTAAAACTACGACCTATGGTGTACCGCAGTCATCATTCTTGGCCCAGTAGCGCTGCGAATGAGATTGAATGTTACAACCAAAAATGCAACCGCAGTCATCATTCTTGGCATACTGAGCATTAGATTGAGTTTTATAATTAAAATGCAACCTAAGGTGTACCGCAGGTATTATTTTTGGACCACCGGAATGCGCCTTCGTTTAGATTACTCTAGTTAGACTACCAAAAAGATTGCAAGTGTTCGCCAAATGTTCCGTAATGATTTACGCGAAGTGAAGTTAACTTATGACAAAAAAAATCACTAAAAATATGATTTAGAGGAATTCAATTCACTGAGTCTTTGCAAATAATGAATTACAAGTATTTGTTCAAAAAAGAACACTTACTTATCACTGAATTGAGCTAATTTTCTCAAAACCAACTTGTACTATWATGAACACAAAATCAAAACGTAGGTGTTACAATTTGAAGCTTAAAAGTGAGGTTTTCCAGTTTCTGTTTTTTCCAGTTTCAGACTAAAATGCCTTAAGGACACHATTTAAGTGGTTAATGTATCATGTTCGTTGATGTACCTCTTAGCCTTATCAATACCGCGTGCTCATTTCGCTATTTATTCGTGCGGTTTCCGTTTGATGTACGTGCGGTGATCGTTTGATGATCGTGAAGTGTTCGTTAAATATCATAGGTCTAATAATAACAAAGATAATCTGGKTCACATTCGTTTTTTATATGTATTTATTTTGATCTTAAAAGTGGGCGTTTGAGTGAAATATCAAATCAAAGTAAATTGTAACGGCGAAGTTTATTATGCTAGTGTGTAGTACCCCACAATACCACAATTTGCGTTAAGATCCAATTTCGATTTTCGTTTTGTTGGAGAAATTTTCGTTTATTCTCGCTTAATATTCGTTGCTCCTTCGTGGAATATTCTCAATTCTTTTGCTCGAAATAWTTTTGTCTTTCGTGAAGGTGAGGTTAGGCTAAACTTCCTCTGGTAACCTAAAATCAAAATTCACTCTCAAAACACCAAAAACACTMAAAAATGCTAGCAATTAWASTATATTTTGATTACATCTTGAGTTTAATTCAAATTWACTTCCTGAACGTTAAAAACGGCAGCTTTCTGTATCGGTACGTGCGTTAAGCTATKAGTCACTGGTTCGCTGTTCGTGMTCGTTTTACAAAACATGACGTGTYATCAAGTATAATAACAGAYCTGAATTYCGTAGTTGACTATAACTCACAATATTCATCGATATACCAAGGACTCTAACGATACTGCACTGACTTAGAGGATATTGCATATCAGGTTTGTAGTTATACCCTTTTACGTGATGTTTGTATTCTTAATTATAGTATATCGTTGTCTAGTGAGTGCAAACACTAAAGCCATGAAYTTAAGTAATTATAGTGCTAATTTATACACTGAATTATTCAGATTCCTTTGTTTCCTTGGCTTATCTACAATACGATGCGCATTTTAGCACATTTTGTCTCTTTTCACTCTTTTGGTGTTTGGGTGCACTTAGCCACTGTATAAGATTAGATAGATCAAGCAGTCCGAGTTAAGCCGGAAAAAGCGAGGCATAGCCGAGGTTTAAACTGGATTGAGTGTTTTGATATGATGATATGATTATATTGCATCAATGTTAACAAAGTGCGTCTAGGGGCCGAGCGTTCCCTCCCTCTTTGACTTTAAAACTTCCACTCGCTATATACACGATCAAGAGTTCAAATCRGAATCAACCTTWTTTAACTTTACTCTTCTCATTGACAAGTGTTGTGATTTATTTTTGCMAATTTCGCTTTGTTTAGCTGTTTTTCTAACCTAAAAAAGAGGATATGTAATCGATTTTAAAATATTTGGATCCMAGTAGATGAATTATTGGTTTCTGTATAGCTGAAAGGGATGTATTGCAGACGATTTATGAGAAAATAAAAACATRATGAGTGCTTTAGGAAAAACTCCCTGCAGTTTAAATAAAAATGACCATTGAAATTGTAGGAGTCTAGGCGCCAAGCAAAGGACCTTTCRCACTCTGTTTAATCACCCAATACATAAATATCTTTTGAAATACTTTTAATTTCACGAATATATATTTTTTCACACTTGACCTAATCCAGGGTAGCGTCGTAAAGTGTTTAAAGTGCCTATGACGCCTGACAAAATAATTTCTGATTCTCCGTGAGATGATTCTATATAAAGTTAATAATTGAATGTTGAAATATTCCTGCATTTAAGTGTTGCGTCTTTGATTTTTGAAGGCTTAATCTTCCAATATGCTAATGATAATGACGTCAAGGGAGGCTTCATTATCATAGAATATATACGAACTTTGAAACAGTCGCTCAAAAATTAATTTCACCATTTAAGAACTTATTTTATATAGAATCAGCTCACAGAGAATCAGAATTTTTTTTGTCAGGCGTCATAGGYACTTTAAGTCGTAACTGCACATATCAATTATTACTCAAGTGTGTGATTGCCCGACCAAGTGATTMGCTAAAGCAATTCTACTGAAATAAGTTACCTATTTTAGAGTTTCAAATGGTGAACAAAGTGCCTTCTTATCAATKTTTTGATAGCTAGGTGTTTAGCTCTTGAGAGTACAAACAAGAACGATCACGYACARCGAGSACTAGTTAAAAAACTACTTTACATGAAGTCCCATGCAAGACTTAGCAGAAAAACAAGGATTTTTGCGTGCGCGCGTGGCTTGAATCTGCTGATACACTGACACTGGAATAACGTAAAGGCGGCAAAATACGAGATACAAAACTATCAACTTGGCACTCAACATTGTTTATRTTCARGTTTAGGTTCGATCTTTCTCGTTTTTCATCGCGCGCGATCAATTTGGCAAGCAACAAAATCCTCTGTTGCGAGCTGAAGAAAGTTGTTGCGCAAAGTAGATTCTCGCAGTACTATCAGATACAAATGTTGGCTTTGTTTCTCGTTTTTTATCGAGATTAAAACTTGACAAAATCAAAAAATCAACCAATCAGCGTGCGAGATTTCTTCAACTCGCAACATAGGATTTTGTTGCGTGCCAAGTTGATCGCACGCAAACAAGAAACAGCGAACCTAAACTTGAACAGAAACAATGTGCACGCCAAGTTGATGGATTTTGTAATTCCTATTTTGCCGCCTTAAACCTTTGTTCTCACTAGATTATAGAGATAACATAGACAGAACAACRTGGGCCCATCTTTTCAAGATCATAAGACGTGTCTGGTTTTCTTTCACCAGCCTCACAGGGTCTACGTAGTCATTTGACAAAGGCTTATCGTAGCACTAGACCTGTAATAAGTCTCGGGCTACCTGTGTTTATTCACGTCAGCTGTTAACACGCGCTGGCTTAGTAAAGCAGACTCCACCCATTACAGCAGTTTAAGGTTACATCCTTTAAAGAAGAAGCGTATGCAGAATTTATCTTTACAAATTGCGATTAAAATTACGAAGATAAAGTCGAGAAACTGGTGGCCCCTTGAATTTTATACAACCCTTAAAAGTYTTTTTTTCAGCTAAGTGAAGTGCATGTCATGCGATCGTTCAACAGTGGGCTGAAAAGTGTTGCGTAGACAAACTCAAACATTTTGGATTTTTCTTTATGATGATAATGACCGTTTCAGGGCATCGTACATACAAACGTAAGTTTTGTCTTTCGCTGAGACAAAGCAAAACAAAACATAAAGTAAAAAGCAAAACAAGGCAAAATTGCTTTGCGAACGCGTATAAAAAGGCGTCAAACCAAGTTCAGAACTAGTGTAAACATTAAATCCCCAACTTTTAAGGCGAACAATTTTTTTACTAAGAAATCCTATTCGAACCGTTTAATCTCTTAAGATAGTATCTTATCAGAAGCCCAGCTCTTCCCATAACCTACAAAAACCATTAACTTGATCTAAGAACTGATTTGGCTCAAGTAAAAACGATTTCCTTAGGGTATATGTAGATGTGATTTTGTTAAAAAAGCGGCCATCTTGACTATTATAGTTTGTTCATTTTAATACTAATAATTGAACAGTTTCCGATTTGCCGGAGGGAATTCCTAGTAGTAATAATGACTTTCTCTTGGAAATAGTTTGCGTTTGCCCTGAAATAGGAAGGAGATCACCACAGAAGCTCACTCGAGTAGAAACAACTAAGGAAACGCTGTATAAAAACATAGCGTCGATTGATTTCTAAAATCTTGTCGCTTAACTGACCAATACGGCGATTAAGCAGTTGAGGAGTAAAGTCAAGGTAGAAGAAGAAGGAAGTTCAGAAGATAAGGTGATTAAATATTTATGCAATTATAAGTGAATAAGTTTTGTAGTGGTGATAACGAGGCTAACATCACGATGATATCTTCGGGAAAAAAACTCAAAAACAGYAACATCAAAAAGCAATATAAAGTGAATTTCTTTAAGTATAGATTCAAAACGACGGTTTAAATATGGAGAAACAAACTTTAAGATAAAAATGTGGATTTGTCTATATAGTTGATTTTATGTTCACAAATCCAGCTATCAGTAAAATAGAGGATTTTACAAAAAATCCTCTAAAAAAGCACGRATTAATTTCGATAAGATTAGAATTATTTTTACTAGGTTTTTGCGCAAAGCTTAAAACCACTATATACTTCCATGAACAAAAAAATCTTGCCTAGTTACATTGTCAAGAGCAATTGACCTCCAAAAAATGGTCGCAACACAAGATAAGATTATTACAATTTCACTTCGAGGATCATTATTTCATACACAAAAATGGCCACTTTATTGAGAAGGCAACTTGATGTACAGCGTCATCGTACATTTGCAAAAAAGAAGAAAAAAAACACAAGAGAAAATGTTCGATCTGTATTTCTTTTGTAAAATATATTATTTTACTTAAGTATGAATTCTCTTGATTTTCTATGACTACGTTGTTTTAATTAGATGTATATGGAGTGAAAGAGAAACGGGAGAGAAGAAAATGAAATGAAAACAAACAAGAGGAGACCAAGACAACCGAAAAAGTCAAAAAAGGTCGACTTCCTGAATAACGTCTTTATTTGTAATGACGGACTTTCACTCAAAAATCAACAATACAGTCAAGGCCTTTGGCAACTATTCATTTTGTAATAACATGAGTTCTCRAACAAAGAAAAAATGAAAAATTGTACAACGGAGAGAAATTAATGGTGACAATCCCCTGCTATTTTGTAAGAATTCTTCACGCTTTTCAAGATTCATATGTTCACAATACCCTGCTGACCAACCTTCACTTTATAAAAAGCTCATTTATTTTCTAAGTTTGGTTCATTGCCACCATTCATGGTYATCACACCAAAACATTTAAAATCCACATTTTTTTATTAATCTCATAATCATGACTTTCATCGATTCCTCTGCTAAGTTTTTTRAAAACAGCACATTACTTTACAAAAGCATATTAAGAATTTAGGATCAAGCGAGATTTTAATAGAATTAAAAATAGAAGTTTCCAGGCAACGAGCTTGCGCAGCCCTTGCCCTCCTCCCCCGGATTAGATTGCTATCCATTTAAAGATTCTTGATTAAGTGTGTACTTTGACGGCGATAGGAAGGAGCTTAAAGACAGCTAACACTGCCACAAATAAGCAGTTTGAGCAAAACCTCTGACGGACCGCGTTTGTTCCAGTTTRCTCTGGCTGCATGACTTTAGAAAGACAAGGACAAACCGACGCTCTTTCTAATTTCAAAAGGTACATTTCGAAAACATTTTTTAAAACGTGCATGTTACTCAAGACTTCAGGATATGTGTCTGTGTATTGTAAGTGTTTTTATATCAATCCCTATTGTGATATTGAGCGCGTGTGTGTCACTCTGATCCATTTTCATATTTTGAAGCATTATTTTGTCTAATGGAGTGAGATTAATTCTTTATTTTTATAAAGAAAGCTTCGTTTGTCACTCCTAAAGCATAAAAATTATTATTTTTCTCATTCTTATTGTTTGAAGTCATCAAATATATTCCGAAAAACAAATGTTATATTCTAGTCACCAGCTTAAAGAAAAAATAAACTGTCTTTGCTCGTCATTAGTGCAGCTACAAAAMTATCATTAAATAACTTTAATTTATACATTATTGCATCAATACCCCTTAAAAATCAGTAATTATTATTTATTATAATTATTTTTTTTCATTGGTTTGAAAAAATTCCTTTACGTTCAGTTAAAACTTGTGTGTTTTTGMAGCYATATCGTATTCTTTGTGTGAAAACTCAACGAAAACGCAAAGTGTCGAAGTTGTCTCAGTCTTCAAAATAACTTGGAATACTTAAGCTCTTCTATGAATGGAATAATTGTTCTTTAAGATATKTTKTAAGACGATTATCGTCGATAGACATTAGCACGAACAGCGTTAATCCATATCATTCGACTTTATTTGTTGATTTTCTTGTCAAAGAATGACTTACAAGTCAAAAATAAAGAAGATTAAGCTATTTAATGACATTTTTTAAAAAGGTATTATTTGTTTAGTTTAGCTTTTTCAATCTGTAAGATAGTGAGTCGATTCACTTTGTCTATATACAGCTAGTATTTGGCGAATTGAGTGGATTAAAAACTARACTGTATCTTCCTTTCATTTCTTTGTTTTCATTTACTTTTTGCTTTGCTTCCTTTTCTTTTGTTTGGGGGGTCGAGGGGAAACTGGGACTAGTGGTGGAAAAGATAAAAATGGCATTYACACCGAGAATTGACATAAAATTCAATCAAAGATCAATT